ATCGGTTGGAAAAATCAGAAGCTATGAATTTTTGAAAATGATGCGAGAGAACTTTCGGGCCAACCTAATAAATGAGGTGCCACGCTTGTTTCATAGTAATGACTTAAGCTTTACAGTATTTCACCATGATTTCTTCTCAAGAAAGAAAGACGACCACCAACTGTTTTGTATGAAATGTATGTGTACTATGCCAAAAACTATAAAATCGCCAATAGAGCACATCTGGAATACGCTGAAGGAACTTATTATGACTCATTATGAGTGCCTGATTTATGACGAGATTTTTCTGATTCTGGTGCCAACACAAATTGGTGTGAAGCGATATTTTGGAACATTCTCGGCCAGCATTTTTCGCATGAAAACCAAGAAACAAGGAAAATAGCTCTGTTAAATCACCTCGAGAGAGCCAAAGGGTAATTCCGAGCGATTTTTTGTCATCACCTACATTAGCAGTACGTCTCCAGGAGCCATCACAGCAGCACTTCTGCCGGCAGCCATTACAGCCGTGGGGCTGGAAGTGAGTGGAGTGTAAGCCGGAGAGCCGTCAGTTGTCGCATTGTTCGTCATCAACAGCGGCAGCGCTCCGCTCGGGACGAGCCAGTGGCGGTCGTGACCGCTTCGTGACCGTTTCGGGATGCAGCAGCTCCTGGCGCTGCTTTCGCTGCTCGTCGCGCACATCTGTGGCCAAGTGCTGGAGAAGTCGCGCTCTGTCTGGGTCGAGCAAGGACTGGTTAGGGGCAAAATCTATAATATTGACGGCCGTCACATACAAATATTTCGTGGCATCCCCTACGCTGAACCGCCAACTGGAAACTTGAGATTTCAAGTGAGTTTGTTGATTTTTCTTTTTCGTTCGCTCTTATTGTTTTCATAATTTACATCTTTCCTACAACTCTGATCATATATTTTACCTCTTTTTATTTTACGACTTCACAGCCAAAATATGTAAATAAGAAAACGTTTGAAATAACGAAGACGACTAAATTTACGATGGGAAGGGAACTCGAGCTTCATTTTAAAGCTTTTTTTTGTACTGAGGTCAATTCAAAAGCGATTTATCACACTCGTATTGTGCGCATTGGCAAATGTGTGGCTATAGACATAAAAAGTGTTCTCAAAAAATCAATTTAGGGTAAAGGGAAGGCCAAAAGGCTACTTATTTTCGATTAGTATAAAAGATCCGAAAATTGAAATTTATAGTGTCTGTTTTGTTTACTACCTTCTTTGACTTAACGTATCTACTTCTCTGTTGTTTCTACAATAGGAATTCAGGCTTTGTTTTTTTCTTTCACGCATCCATATGGGAAAAGAAATTTTCATTGTCTGAATCAATATCGAATCTTCGTACTTTGAATTATGGTACTCCGAAACACCTCAGTCAAATCATTGAATCATCAGCAGAGATTATGTGGAAACTATAGGCGAGTTAGGAAGTACTTAATGGAGGGTTTCTTCACAAACTAACTACTGACAGAAAACTTGAGCCCAAAAATTTAACATTCCTACAATCTGAACATCAACAACAACAAATCAAATATCTGTCTTGAGAATACAAAAACAATCAAATTCATTATCAACAGGGAACTGTGAATCATTGAAGGTGCTTTGTTCCTCAGTTTTATCAAACATTACAAACCTTTTGCACTCAAGAAGTGGTTGAACTATCGATATAGAGAAAAATTTGTCAGGTTTTCATCGTTGAATGCAAACTGCAATATTCTCTAGTTTAACAAAATTCAAAGATAATCGTCTATTTTACGGGCGCATATAAAATTTTCAATATTTCCGAGTCTAAACGGAAATAGCAATAATAATATCGAAATATCTTCATGTGAAAACCTCTCAATCTCGTTCCTTTCCTCAAAGGGTGTAAAAGAATCTGCAGACATTCACCGGAGCTCCTCAACTGAAAAAAGGCTTGTCTCTTCTCTTTAAAGACAAGGTAATTTCTAATGTGAATTTACAGCTCGCAGATTCAAAAAAGTAGGAAAAAATTAGGTTCTTGATATCATTATCTCAAAGTATTTTATTTACTCACCTTTAAGTGTTGTGGAGTAGAATAATCGTGAATTCTTCCCAAGTCACGCCATGGCGCTTTCAAACTTTAGTTCATGAGTTTATGGAGTGCCGTAGCTCAATATGCTCTTAATTTTGTACATACTCTTCCTCACTCGACACATCTGTTATATATCGGATAGCAAAAACCCTCGTCTACGTCGCATGAGGATTAGCATATGCTTCAAAAGATTTAGCGAAACACATGCTACATCAGAAATATGTCGAAAAGTATGCTTGAGTAGCAAGAAAAAAACATTGAGCCATTTGTTTTATGGACCTCACTTACTGCTAAAGCCCAGACATATTTTCGAGCATTTTTTCTGCAAGATTACGAGCTACTTTAGTCCGTGAATGCACTAAAATCACTTGAAAATATATCTACCAGGAAATGAGGGCCACGTCGCCGTTGCAAACAATCTGTTTCTCGTTTCATTTGTTTTTTTAGCTTAATCTTCCGTTTCCTTGGGATTTGCAGGCCGCAGATAAATGTTAGGTTTGTGCAGAATGATTTAGAAAAGAATTCAATTATTAGGTTGTTCTATTAGCACAAGTTTGTCACTTAGAGTTTATGACAATTTTCTTCCTTTCTTTTTTGGAGGACGGGCATTGAAGCCTTTTAACAAATGTTGCCTTTTATAGACAACGATGAAATTACATCGTTGTTTATGAATTAGAAATACTCAGAAAGTGGGCAACCTTAGAGAAACAAGCAAGGGCCTTCTATAGTTACTTAAGTATTGTTTGTTCACATACATATACAGGGTGTCCCAAAATAATGTGCACACTGTTTGATTTTGAATAACCCTTTTGTATCGCTGTTTCTTGCGGATCCCAGGGTACCATATGAAAGGGCTAGGACTAACTTAGATTTACAGTATATGGCGAATCAGCGATCTCCACTCATTACTGTAGGACTACGGTAGGAATTTTGGACTGTTTTTTGGGCCTTTGACGGGCAAAAAAAGCGTAAAAATTCTTAGGAAATTGGAATAGGCACATTAGGGTTCCCGGGGATGCAGAATCTTATTGCGACATCAACCTCTACCGTTACCTACCGTAGAAACCTCAATGTGCCTATTCCAATTTTCTAAGAATTTTTTCAACGCCTTTTTTGCCCGTCAAAGGCCCAAAAACCACTCCGAAATTTCTACCATAATCCTACAGTAATGAGTGGAGATCGCTGATTCGCCATATACTGTAAATCTAAGTTAGTCTTAGCCCTTTTATATGGTACCTTGAGATCCGCAAGAAACATCGATACAAAAGAGTTATCCAAAATCAAACAGTGTGCACATTATTTTGGGACACCCTGTATTGCAGTGTAGGCCCAGTGCCACCAGTTTTTCCCTCATATTTATTACCTGTTCTCAGCTGACCCATTTTACTGGACGAGATCCTTTTTTCTGTAAAAGAAACTAACATTTGCTGAATGTGCTGCTTGTGATGACCACCCATTGATGCCTAAGATTCTGTAATTCTTCTGAAAGATTTCTAGGAAAGCGTCACAAAAAATACCAAGGCATTCCAGTAAATTGCACACATAGAATGTATGTCGATGAGGATTTGTGAAAAAAAAAGCATGACTCCCAAAAGCTCGTGTTTTCCGCCTCACTACAAACGACAGGAAAAAAATGTGAGGTATTTTTTTGATAACGAAAAGAAAAACCCCATTTAGGTACTAATACTACAATGATTTAGTAACTTGAGTGGGGTGACGTGCGGAATCTAGGACAATTGTTAAACTGTTAGAAAGTTTTGAGACATTTTGGAATTTGCCATTTTCAATTACTTTTCTTCATGTTTTCAAATGCTTTCATAGACCGTGACATCTATGCATGAATGTAAATGTCTATTATATTAGGTTGCTGCATAAGTTCTGTCCGATTTGAATTTTTTGAGTTTAAAATGTCATAACTTCTTTCAAAGTCAACTTTTTTCCAAGATCTTAGTTTCTTTATGATGAGTAGTTCTTTGGCTATCAGATACCTATTCAGACTTGCAAAAATCTTTGTTAAGGAAGAAGCAAGAACTCAAAAACTCCACAGCGTTTTTCTTCAAACCTGTCTTTTTTGACATGGCAATGCTCCCTTATGAGAATTGATAGACATCTTTTCTAATAATAGATAGATAGAGAATTTTTCGTAGATTTATTTGCACCACAAAAGAGCTCATGGGGTCTTTGTTGCCGAGAGATTTTTTTGACCGAACAAAAAATTAGCCACTTTTTGACCTCGCTTCAGCGCATGTGTGCATGCCTATTTACAAATTATGAAAATTTTACAACCGACGTGAGCGGCGAAAAGGAATTGGATGAGTCCTGATAGCTCTTTCTTTACCCTACCACCTCCAACTTTGAAGTCGTCGATTACTTCTATTCGCAGAAAGTTACTGCTTGTAAAACATCAATACAAAAAATTAATGTTCGACAACAAACTTTACTAGCAAGACGTTTTCTTCATGGAACTGAGCTTCTGCATATATTAGCCTTCTACACCCTCATTCCGCAACCAATGAAAGAACTTGACTTTAAGGGCGCATTGTGGAGATTTCCTTGCAAGAACATATTTCTAGAGTGAGAACGTACCTCGACCACTTGGAGATTTTGGGCCTGAAATGTCATCACGCTAAGAAATTTATTGAAATTTGATATGCGTTAGAAAGAGCAAGAAAAGCACTTTCCAGTGATATCTAAGAATACCGCATTAGAGATGAAATTCTCTTAGAACAGCTCTTTCAAACATAAGGCAAAAAAATTCGGACAGAACTTATGCAGCAACCTAATATACTGAATAATGGAAGAGATTTGCGGATTTGAAGGAATGTGGAGATCTGTTTGGACAAACTTCTATGTTTCCAAGTTTTGCTTTTACTATACTTTCATATGAATTATTGATTGCGCACATTGATTCATCCTGTAAACCTTATTTTAATTTTTAAAAGTTATGCCATGCGTCCCGGTCAGTAGTCATACCGAAGAAAGAATTGCTTTGGAAGTTTGTGTTCGAGAACATCTGCCAACATACTTGCTAAACTTAGCCGAATCCTGAACCTTTTATGAACTTTTGACCATAAATTGATGAGTTTCTTTCCCTATCTTTAGAACTCTCGAGGTTTTACTGAAGATTCCATATACTCACATGATTCGATATATTCGGCTGAGAAAAATGAATGAGTGTATCACGGGTGCGAAGTGTTGATACACCAACCCAAAAAAACTAAAATCACATGTTTGGTTTATGAGCTAGAGAAATAGGAGTGTTTTGGTTCCTCCTCATTCCTTGTTGATCGGATCAATCTTCCGCAATCATAAAGTGTACGAAAGCCACAGGTTTTATGGCCTCTCAAGCATCTTTAGCAAGCTACATTATTATATTATATCATTATCCACCTGGCTGATATTCAAGTATTCTAAAAAAAAATTCCATTTCTATTTGCCGTACGTCCTAGTACATAGGTCCATCGTGTCACTGTCAAAAAAAAACCCTCGACATAAGTTTTTGCTGCTATAGTTCTCAATTCTGATTCATCACTAGTGAGGAAATTTTATGAAAAAAAAACAATTTTGAACCTGCGTATGACGCTCTTTAGTCATTCGCTTAGTCTGGCTCTCCTCCTATTATGCTGAAATCTGCTCGCATCAACAAAAAGAGAAAAGGATGTGTGAAAATCGTACCATCGAAAAAAAGATGAGAGGTTGATTGTGGCAGAGCGACTTTTTGCTCGGCGCTGAAGAAAAAACCTGACCCAGATCCTCAGAAGGGCCTTTTCACAATCGTTTTTTCTTGACTGTCTGCATAACTGCTGAAATTATCGCTTGAACTTCCCCTCAAAACTGGCAGTGTTTATGAAATATACTCAAACATTTTTGATTGCGTTCAAAGTTTTCTACGCATATCCAAGCAAATATCGATTAATAAATTCACTTGCAGAAACCAGTGAAAAAGTCACGATGGCATCAGGAGTTATCGGCCGTAGAGTACGGACCTCCATGCATTCAATTCATGGATTTCCATAAATATGACAAATTCTCGTCGGAAAACATGAAAAGACAAAGCGAGGACTGTCTTTACCTAAATGTTTTCAGTCCATATGTGAGTCTCATAAATAATTTTACCAGCTAAGGTTCCATAAATCAATGCTTTAGGACCATGAGGATGAATCAAAAACGTTCCCTATAATAGTATGGATACATGGAGGTTCATTTCTTGCGGGATCAGCTGACACTGGCATAGATATGGAGGTAGGAGATTGGTATCAGTCGATTGTTTTTACTCAGAAATTCAACTGCAGACAATCGCCAGGAACATCATATTCAAAGGAATCACATTTGTTACTATCAATTATCGTTTAGGTCCGCTAGGTATGTTACTCATTTCGAATATTCAAAATAAAACGAGTTTTTTACTTTCTTTTGTCATCTCCCATTATTTTGTTCATTCTCTTCTTCCGTCATGATTTCTGATTGATCATTGATTTCTGATTACTCATACGCTCATAACAATTACATAATACATGTTGTATCAAATGAGCATAGCCAAATTTTTCTGAAAGTTTTTGGTTCGAATAAGCTAATCATAAAGTGTGTTTGAGTCATATCTTCGCCGAATATTCGTATTGAACAGCTCTTTGATTCGCCACTCTAACCGTTTGACATTTTCTCCAATATATCTCAATTATTAATTTATCGAGAGCAAATTGCATTTGACCACAAAAGTGGTCTATAGTCATCAGCAGAATCGCCATAGGAAGTGCTTTGACTACAGCAATAAAAGCTGTTCCAGCTGTGCTCCCTAGAGCTGCTAAGTGCATCTGTCATTCGTTTTTTGTTCATTTTTTTGCTAAAAGCTTGTCAGCGTAAAAAGGAGAGCAACGGCTGAAAAAATAGCGTTACTTCGTCGTAATTCTAAAGCTAACTTTGTTGCGTTTTCTTGCAATTGCTAGGCTTTATTGTATCGATATGAAATGTCGTGGTCCATTAAGAAAATAACGTTCAGGTTTTCTCAATGTAAGAGTTGGTGACAGATTAGAAGGCAATTATGGTATATGGGATCAAGTAATGGCCCTACAATGGATACAATCCAATATCAAACAATTTGGTGGAGACCCAAATAGGGTCACTATAATGGGCGAATCTGCCGGAGGAGCTGCAACCAGTTTGCTGGCACTGAGCCCAAAAACTGAAGGTGCCAGAATAACCTCTTTATGGATCAAAAACATTTATTCTTAGGTCTTGCCCAGCAAGCAATCATAATGAGCGGCTCAGCTACTGCTGGCTGGGCAATCCACAGACACGGAACACCAGCATGGAGTTTGGAGAATCTGATCAGCTACTTGAGGTAGAAACTTTATTACTTTCATGCTATTTCAAAGATTTATCGGGACCCTAGGTGCGAGAAGATGATAAACGGAGAATTCACATGGGAAGTAATAGGCGACGAATATACTGCAGAAGAAGTGCTACAGAAACGATGCAACTATCAGACGGAACTGGTTCCGTGTTTGACGGTATGTTCAGCGGAACTTTCGTTCTTCAAATCTTAAAGCAACTCAAGTTATTTGTCAATTGTATTTTCGCTGGTTTCATCTTAGGTCGATCAATCTCAACAGGAACAGCTCGAATGTCTCAGAAAAGGACTGAATTTCAGCTCGCCCCTGTTTCGGAAAGCCCTGGCTATTGAAGTAAGTTTTTGACCCCTTATTGTCTGAACGTCATGAGATATTTTCTGAGCATTACGGCAGATCCAAGGAAGGGTACTGTAACGCTCCCTTTTCTGTGAATTATCAACGGTCCTTTTCCCAAATCCTAGGGTTGATATTTGAGCCGAGCAAATTCGTCATTTTTTCCTCTAAGGACCCAAATTTAGATGCACAATTATTTGCCTACAAGCAATACGATTTGAGGATCGTAACGATTTTCCAACGAAAAGATTAATTTCTATCTACAAAGGAACATGAGAGAAGGCCTAAGAACGATATTAGGTGCTATATTTACACTGATTCATGATTTTGTCGAAAATGCTCTCTCGGGGACCGAATGTGGATGATGCACTGTGATTTTACAGACACTACGAATTTGCGAAATCCTACAATAACCTCGTATTACTAGAAAAACATATTATAACACACTTTTGAAAGAATGAGAAAAAAGATGAGAATGAATCTTTCCTCGGCGCGATTTAGACTCTAAGATTATTCTGCTTTCCAGCTAGGAGTATCAAAGATGGTTGTCGATGGTGATCTCATACCAACATCTGGCGTGGATTTGGCTCGAAATTACGCAAGAATCCCAATCTTGACTGGTGTTGCTCGCAAAGAATGGGCACACAAAAAACGTGAGTAAAGAGAAAAAGTTAAAAGTTCAACCAAAAGACCATTCCAGCGCAATTCTACAATCTCCACCGGAAAGCTACGCTGACAGCTGAAGAGTCAGCTGAGAGCGTTTTTCGTATAATCGAAAGCTCCTTCCACGATACTTCGGCCATAAAGCTCAGCAATTCTACGCTGCACCTTGTAGCCAACGCTTCATTCGTAAGGTGAGGAGTGAGATAATTATGACCAAAATCTGAAAAATCATGTTTCAGATACATCGATGATCCTTCAAACACTTTTGAGACCAGCCGAGTGGTTTCTGCCTTGCAAAAGGTGAAAAGCTAATATTATAGGGAAGGAGAACTTCCATAAATTTCAAATGGTTTTGACGGTCATTAGTATGCTAAAGTCCTTTTTTAGATGGAAGCCGACATAGAGTTTGTAGCTCCATGTCAAAGAGAAATAGACGCCTACATTCAGAACAATGTCACTGTATTCGCTTATTCATTTGACTATATTCCTGAAAGCCCCATATTTGAGGAGGTATGTAATGCAAAAATATTTCGAAAAATTTTTTTACATTACCGATTACTTCTAGTGGATTTGTTTTAGGAAAAGAAGACATTTGACTTGTTCGGAAGAGATCCTGTAACAGTAGTACGAAAAGACCAAACTTTGAAAGGTAAGTCAGAAGATTTAACAAAATATTCTCTGTATGAAGGTCTCTGGCCTCCCCTCGCATTAAATTTACGAAATTTAAATTACGGATGAAAGCGAAGTACTTGCACAGCTCTATCGTTTGAAATTTTTCCGACCCGTTCTTGGGGAAGCTGCCTTTGGTATCCACCATTCCCTTTAGATTCCTAAAATGCTTACTATGGAAAAAGTTGGCTAGAGACATTTGCTCAAGAGAAAGAAGACCTATGATAATCTTTCCAGATCGCAAAATGGAAGCGTTCCACGGTCTCGACCATGCGTTCATTTTTACCAGAGGCTACAGTAGCAACTTCGAGATACGCCCCTTCACCAAGAGAGATGAGAACATGGCTAAAATCTTGACTAATATGGTGACAAACTTCGCAAAAACAGGCGATCCATCCACGAAGAGGTTGGCGATAGCTCAGCGCAGCAGGCAGATGAATGAGGAACCATGATCTTCAGGGTTTAGATTCGCTTGGCCGCCTTTCAAAGGAAATGTGACCACTGAGCATGTCTCCATCGATCTTCCACCCAAGTAAGTGGGAAAAGCAAGTTTCGTGGAATAGGTTAAAAATCTCTCGTTTAGGGTAATCCAAGGTGAGCTGCATTGGCCAAACCCGAAGTTTTGGAATGTGGAAGCGGACCTCATAACTCAACATGTGGGAGGCGATGGTGACGCAAACGTCGACCCGGATGCGGATCTGAGCAATGAGGAGAGGGTACAGGTCGGTACTGACGTCCAAAAAAGATCTTTTGAAAAAGAAGATTGGTAAATTTGATTGAAATTTTTCACTAGCAAAAGCAGATTCTCTACGGCATTGAATTACGTTGTCCTTTCGTCTTGCCCAAATTTGTTGGAAAATTTACAAACTCTTCCATATGCAATGAATCATCTTGATTTTCTATTAGATGAAAGCTTCTATGGAATTCCTTCTGCTTTTGGTTTCGGTTCTTTGGAAAAATTGTGCTGAATGATTTTGTATTTCTTTATTGCTCTTCTTAATTCTGTCAAAAAGACCTCCGATATGCATAACAAAGCACAACAGAGATGTCGTCGAGTCGCTAGCAACTTAATGTGCGTATTGCACAGCATGCACGCTATTTGACGACTTGTAGGATTAAAATCTGCTCATTTTCGGTGATTTATCCCTGTTTTCCTATCTCTTTTATTCGGCTAAATATTTATTGGTAAGTAATGCACATTTCTACAGTTTGTTGGGCTAGAAGGTCTTACTAGGAGCTGGGGTGTCGTCGGTTGGCGCGCATAGTGTGCAACTCACTTTAGGTTAAAAATGACTCGAGGATACATAGCATATATGGGAATAATTTGAAAAATATAGAAAAAATTCTTAGATTTTTGATCAAGAATTACGTTTCCTAGTTTGACAGAACCAGCCCTGTATACTTGCTCTGCTGCCATTAATGATGGTTTATAAAAATTTTTGGCTTAAGGCAAAATTTTCCTAGTTTTTGACCAGAAGAAAGTGCTGTTTTATTTCATCACCCAGCAGCTTCCATAATAATCTTCCATTGCGTGAATCTTTGATGCAGAACTTCTTAATGTAGTCACCATAGACTGATCCTCGGAATTTTGAAGCATAACAAATGAAAAGCAATGATTTAGTTTCAGTTGAGTGCGTACCGCAGAGCTTGGTGGGCCCTATGGCTTTTGGTAGCCATTTTGGCAATTGTTATTTGGGGAATCGTCATTTATGCCGTCGTCTCAAAAGGAACCAGCCCAAGAAACAAGCCCTATGATAATATCGTAATTACACGATGATACCAATGATTGTGAACTGTGTTATAATTTCTCTAAATATAAATAAACATGAATAACCTGTATACTGAACTGTGAAAAAAACTAGCGATTGTAGTTCTCGCCATCGCTGGGTCCGGAATGCAGGGAACTTCGATTTCTTAGAGACATCACATACATGTCCAGGCACTGAACTATGAGAGGTACTGGAGTACTAGCTCCACAGCTACTGGACTGCCCTCACCCCTCATTCTGAGCTTATATGAAAAGTTCTCGCTCTGCAAACCCATCTGTTTCTCCTTGTTTTCCGTACCAGGTTATGAAGCGAGATTGAAGAATCTCTACTTAATCTTGAAGATGAAAATAACAAGCATCGCGTTCATCAAATTTTCATGACATGAACAACTCGAGTGATTTATTGCAACTTAAATGATTTATTGTATCACAGAAATGCAGGGATTATTCCATTAAAGCCAGCAGTATCCAGCTGTGACTAAGTTATAAGAGCTAGAGCAAAAATACTGATGTAGAGAAGTATCATTAAAGTGAAATAAAATCACAACATAAGATTCGAAAGAAACTATTTCAAACATGAAAAAAGGATTGAGTATTGAGTATAATACATAGATATGAACGTTGCAACTCTTTCGACAGAGCTCGGGAAATGTCATTGAAAGTTAATTTATGGAGGTACTCAAACGCTCAAACTTATAGTCGGTGAACCCAAGTTTAAGAGCGCAGAAGGTTAAAGCGATAAAGTGAGATTCAGAATTCTGAGATGCTTGTATGAGCATAAAGTCGATGCCTACGGACCGCTATGGGAGCTCTGCTTCGTAACAAACTGTTCCAGATCTGAAACATATATGAGCCAAGGAATAGACAAGAAATCATCCTAGGGGAATGGCGTACGCTTTGACTCAACGGGATTGGCGGCTGGAAGGCTTCGTGATCTAGTTAAAGGCAGCGTCCATGTTATCCAGGCCTTTCCATGGCGCTGATTCCGAATATGGAACTCAAAAAGCGTGAATTTCTCAGAAAACCACCTTTTGGGGCTATTTTGGGAAAACCCGGACGAGTGCTTCTGATGTTATCCTTGTCGAAAGCAAGTATTAACAGGTAAACGCTGTAAGTTCGACTGAGTTGGTCATGTGAAAACACGTCAAGGCTGAGGAGATTTCGTTCATAAGGGGTTGGCCGTCCGAGGGAAGTGGGCGTGGTCGTCGCGCTCGGATCTGCTTGGACGCTGCCTTTAAAGGCAGTGTCCGGGCAAAATGGGGGTTCTGAGATTTCTCTGCCATGTGAAAGTAGCCCCCCTGAGACACAACATCGCGCAACTGCGAGCATAAAACGTTCGACCTAAAGCAAGAAAAACGATTGCAAATTGGGGAAACTTACGCCTTGGGGCGGGGTCCTCCGAGTTGTTTGAATTCCTGCCAGACGGCAGAGTACGTATGCCGCCACAGTTAAAAACCGTGCGCTCTTTGCAACCTCTGCGTCTTAGCCTGGCGGGGATCCCCAAATTTCGAAATGTGAGGACTTGGAAAATGCATGTTCTCGCCGTTTTCGCGCCTTCTGATGTGGATTTTCGGATTCAGCGTTGCGGATAACCCCAGATAAGTTGATTTTTTAGAAGTCGAGTTTCTGCCCGGACACTGCCTTTAAGGCTAGAGAATGATCAGAGACACGAGCGCGAAAGAGACGCAGGCTGCGTCGCGAGGGAGAGCGGCCATAATTAGGTCACAAAGTCCCGCCTTCCAGCCGCCAATCCAGTTGAATCAAGGGTTACAATTACCTTTCTCACAGGACAAGCATGATTTTGGCACCGATCCATATCACAGAGAGGTTGCCGCATGCAGTGACTGCAGATAACACGTGTTATTGCTTGTAGCCGCTGTTCGCGGCTTAGGGTATTTAAAGCAAACTGGAAAGCTGAGTCGAGTTCAACACAAAACGAGCACCATGGATCGCTACCAGCAGTTAAGCAGCCTGGTCTGAAAACAGATTTCTGTAAAAAATTAGAGAAAAAATGGGTAGGAAATAAGAAAATGACGCTTACGTAAAACAGGGTGAATTAGCATCAGCATGCCATTGTATTGAAAGAAGAAGAAGATCGGTAACCCGACGTAGAGCCGGTAAGATATGTGCACGAGCATAATAGGCAGTATGAACCTAGAATAAATCGAGGGTTAGTTCAAAAAATATTTTGAAGTGGAAAATCACCTGTAGACTTTTATCCGCCAAGAAGTCCGTAAGTGAACGTACACACGATATCACTGTAGCTTCTGGTGGACCATAGGTAACGATATAAGGAAGGCGTTCACCGTGAAGAGCTATGTGGGCAGGACTTTTGGCTGCCATGGACCTGGAAAACTTTGGTTCGACACCGATGAACCTTCACTAGAGTTCTTACATTGCCACTTTTAACTGAGGTACGGGGCCATTTTCAGCGTAATGACCTCGATACTCTTTTGAGAATAAAAAGTCAGTGTACGGCAGATCACGAAGCCTTGACAGTTTTGAATCCAAGTAGATGCCGAGCCCTCGCCAATTTCGTGTGAAAATCAATCTCAAGCTCCGCTCAAGCACCTGAACCATGTTACGTTGATTGCTAGAAGTTTTTCGAGCTGGGATCACCTTGGCTACGACTGGGCAGGTATCTCTACGGACAGTCTCAATTCCTTTAGCATCCAGCACTCCAACTTCATCATCTTCGCTCTCGTGCATCCAACCAGCATAGCGCTTCTTCGTTTCAAGAACACAACCCATGTATACCTGCAACCAGTATATGCATAAACTAGTGATGTATGACAATTTGCAGGCAGCAAGGATGTTCAAAAAAGTTTCACAAGTTCAATCACTGATAATAAACTGTCTACCTTTTCCGAATTGGAATTGATCAAAATGATTGGAGTTCAATATATATTACCTTCTCAAGTTTCAACACAACAGGTGTAGGATTCCCTTTCGTCACATCATCCGCAATACGTCTTCCAATGGCAAAAGCTTCGGCTCTCGTAGCGCCTAAACGATATAGCGGATCATCAGATAACGAAATTTCTTTTGAATCCAACCGTGAAAAAATGATGCTAAGGATGCTAGACAATATCAGATCAAACAGTTAAGATGGCCAAATATATGATTTTTGCAGTACTCTGTTCTGAAAAGGGTCACTTAGTGGACCTTTTTTTTTACTTCCGGACTGAACCCTTCGCCAACTTTGCATTAGTGATTTGCGAAGTTTAATCGCAATGCATTCAGAAATGAAGTTGCAAATCCAAAAGAAGTTTCGGGATTATTCACAGAAAATTCAGATCTTCTCAAGGTTTTCGAAAAGATTTGAATTTTCTTTCATCTTCTTCAAGTTCAAGTAATTCTTGGTTGCCTGTATGTACATATGGAGCAAAATGTCGGGGGCTTCGTCTGAATAATAATATTACCAAAAGTAGTTTCACTCTATCATACCTGGAACAAGCACAAACATACTGTCCGTGTCACCATATATCACTTTCGCACCGCCATAGTTGCCATTATTCACCAAAGCTATTGCTCGTTCGAGGGTCTCCCTGCCTTTTCCAAGGATGGCATCTGCTACCTGTAAAATTAGATAGACATACAGTGATTCTAGTAACCAGTAGATTTGATCAACCTCAACACAAGGCATTCTTCCGCTAAAGTTGGCACTAGTATAACCATAAGTGACATTGGCTATGAGCTTCAGAGCCAATTGTCGAGCATCCAAAATTCTTCGCAGGCGCTACAATATACGGTCTAAGCGAAAGTTTAGAGGGTAACAATAAATCATGATAAAAGATCTAACTTTGCTACGAGCGTGTTTGATTGACGCCTTCACCATGACTCGAGCACCAAGAACCTGAATTTTTCATTTCACAAGGAGAAATTCACATTGAAGTTCGACCTCTCTCATGAATGTAGGCAGAACTCCCGTACGCTGGGCTGGAGTAACGAAAGCGGCCGAAAGCGGTGAGCAATGGAGTTTCTTCTTCAAACTGCACTCCACAAGTTGGGGTTTCTGTGAAGATAACCTTATGGTGGAGACACTCAACTGTGGTTTGAACCTACCGCTACCGTATACTTCATGGCACCAAGCTTGATGGAGCTACCATTCTCACGAGCCATTCTCTCCAGCTCGAAAACCTGGAACGAATTTGCAAGAAAGTTCTTGAAAAACATAGTGATATGAGCCAAATAAAAAAGAATCGGACTAAATCATCTTATAATTAAGCAAATTTGTCTCAATCTCATCGACCCCTTTACTCCTCCCTATCCTTTTTTCCCGCAAGATCGCTTCTCATTCTTTTTCACATTTGACAGTGATTTTCCCACCGTCCTTGTTTTCAAGTCTTAGTTTTATATAAAACTGAATGATAAAAACACATGCTCTTCAGATTCTATAAATTTGAATGATGTTTTGTGAGATGTCAAAATTTTATGAATATCTCTCTGCAAGACCATGTCGGAATGATGGAATTCATGGAACCTCAGTAGACGTTGAAAAAAGGAATTTTTAAAATTGTTTACAATCAAAAACAACCAACTTTTCTTGTTTTTTTTTCAGGCGTTCAAGAATTACCTTTCCAAATATTGTAGAGAAACAATAATTGTAAGCGATGACCATGGAAGGGTACAGCGACTGAAAATCTCTGTGAGGTACAATGGTCTACCAAGCTCAAAGAGCTACCCGAAACTAATACCTGAAAGTCTAGGACGATGACAGGGTCAAAATAGACTTTGGAAAGCGGTTCCATGACAAGCTGTAGTTGTTCAGGGGCTTCCATTCTAAAAACACAATAGATAAGGTAAAAATCAGAATTCACCCGTATTTCACGATTAAGTTTGCAAAATTTGACTGCTTAAGTCAAAAAGACATTCGGATTTACCGAAAAGAAGTAATGCTTCTCTCCTACTTTATTCTTTGCGGCACAGTGACCGAAGGTAGCACATAGCCTTGGGTGTGGGCAAGTCGAAAAAGCATCGACTCGACTCGTAGTTGCGAGCCCCGGCTCCATACCTAAAACCACATTCACATTTATCTTGGTGGGACCAGGTGGTATGTCACCTCGTAAAATTGTATGCCGTAAACCCGAGCCATTTCTGCTGTTCTCAAGAACCAGTTGATCTCAGATAAAAGCGAGATGTTTAGCAAGGAGAGTCTGTTGACATAATCAGCCACCGCAGCGCTAAAAGGGTTACAATTTTTGAGAAAATAGAAATTTTTCATCGACTTACTATCTTGGCTTTGGACTAAGGAATATCTCTTCGCAAAGGGCACAATCGTCCATAATTGGGAATTTTCGTTTTAGTACACAAAGAACAGCTGTACCACGATCATAAGCCCTAAAAGAAAAACGTCCGAGTAACTTTAGCAGGAAAGGTATGTGCAGAAACTTGAAAGAGAATGCACAGAATTAGTCACATCCTTTAACAAACCTGAGCGTAAGTTCAGCTCTCAGAATTTTCCAAACTGCTTTCAACAAACGACCGCATGGCGGTTCAACATCGTCAGGAAGATCGTAGTGCCGATCCAAAGGCGTTCGATGTCCTGAAATAGAAGAAGTAGAAATGATGAGAAGACGGAATATTTCTCCTAGCATAATTGTTGATGAAGACTTGATAAGCAAAAAAACTTAACTCTCGGATATCGACCGATATTAAGATAGAAATTCAGCAAACCAATAGCCACAGCTCTTCTCAAGATGTAGCCCCAAGAAAGTCGTACGGTATCATATCCAAAAAGGATGTCTGGATCTGACCTGAACTCGCAGAATAAAGCAAAGCATGGTTCATACCCGGTCCTACTTACTCTTTTACAAGCTCTTCCAACTTTATGAATAGTGATTGTTCATCTGGTACCAAAACAATATGTTCACTCTCCACCCTCTGGGAAAGTGGCTTAATTAGAGCTATCGATGAGGCGAGATTGACATACGTGAACCGGTAGTGTGGTGACGAAGACATGAAGCGATGGGGAAGCGGTGCGACAGACATCCGAGATCAGACAGAAGGAAAAACCCAGTAGTGGATCGTGCTAAAGAGTATCTCATTATAGAGCGGTAACGTTTTCAGGTAACATTTTGAAGTACATAGGAACAAGTATTAGGCCCCGGTCAGACTTCACGCGACTCAATCGTCGCGATCTAATCGCCAAGATTTCCATTCATTTTCATTTCACATTCAGAAATTTCGGGCTGGAAAAGTATCACAACCGAATGAAAGTTGATCAGCATGGAATGATGTTGTAACAGTTGTCTCCTCGCGATTGAGTCGCGAAGATCAAATCGCGTGAAGTCTGCCCGAGGCCTTAGACGGATTCCGCAGTGAATGACAAAAATAAATTTCTACCTCAATTAGTATTTTTAGGGTACGTCTGACAGTTCCACTCAAGACCAGAGGTTAGCCGGTAGGCTATGTGGCGTTTGAAGCCACAATTTTAAATGGTTTCGTGTTGGTCTTGATGCCCACTAAATGCCTCGAGAATTTTCTGATAGCATCCGATAATCGATGTATATAAAGAGCAAGACATCAGATGATAAGTTTTAGACAGGACAAATAATTGGGGGAGCAGCCAAACAATGTCTTTTAACGCTAAATTTTCTACTTTAGGCCATCTTTACCTGTGGCAGACTGAATAAAATTTGATTTCTCAACCTGTCACGCAAGGCACTAAAACACATCAAAAAAGTACGCCAAAAATGATGAGTATGCTTGTTTGTTTTCTTTTTCAAAACTTTCAAGTTTCTCCATATATGGTTGCCATTCGATGAGTTCAGTTTCCATGGAAATGGTTTCAGGCGACATTATGTAGATATATTGAGGAAAAAAAGAGAAGAGTTTCAAAGGTCTCACAAAATTATAGGCGTCTCTTCTACATCGAAAAGTATTAGGTTGTAAAGAAAGTTCTGCCAGTTCTTCCCATAACTGCCAAAAATGAACGCGAATGCAAAGGGCTGGTTTGGGGTGTGTTCTTAGTGTGCGATGACCACGGCTGCCAAATACGCTATTTAGCTTGAAAAAATGACGATAAAACAAGAAGAAATGCCCAAAAAAGGAGGAAAATCGTTGCGCTTAGGTCTGCGAAAACGCACGTTTTTCAGATTATAGACGCGCAGGAAGCTCAATTCAAAAATCCGTTTTATACCTTTATTTTTGTTTAGATGAAGCGATATTCGACTATGACTTGCTCCGGTATTTGGGCCTTTTCCAAGCAAAAATTAGCTCATTGATTTCAGGGTTCAAAAAGTCGAGCTCTCTAGCTGTTTCCAAACGCAGCCAGCGCCCTTCTTGGAGAAAAGCAACCATGGTATACATAATCAGAAGTCTGAGCTTGTCAGTACACACGACTAAAATATCGTTGGTTGATAGCCACTTATGTTGAAGATAATAAAAAAAAAACATTTCGCTCAACTTCCATTGGCAGAACGTCTTTTATAATAGTTATGTATGGAAAAACACAAAAAAATTGGTGAATCCAAATACAGAAACTACCCGTTTTTCAGTTGTTTTTTTTTCTGAGGTAGGAGGAAGGAAAGAGAGAGAAGGAGGAAGAAGGAATGCGCAAAATCAAAGTTATGCACTTTGAAGTTGTTGATTTCTAATGCAAGCAATGACCTGTGGATCCGGCATGGGGGTTTGGGTAAGTGCAAGAATTTCCAAGCTTGCCGCACTGAGAAAACCAATCTCCTCCAGATCCACGTCTTCCTCTTCTTCCTCTAAACAAAAGGCTCGTATGCTATATCCTACTCCATAAAGTCCTTACCATTAGTTGAGGTGCTGAGTAGAGCTGTTGCGTCAAGCGAAACATTCAGCGGCATCTACAAAACATCATATCATTATAACTCTGAAAACTGGGATATATTAGGTTGATTCATAATTAATGCACGTTTTCTATACTTCAACTTTCGACCAAGATAATTCTTTTTTTAAGAAACATATCTGGGCGCAATAAAAACTGCTGTAACCACCAAATCAGTGGCTATAAAACAGATACTTTTGCGTGACTGTATCTAATACAAAAAAAGATTTTCTGGCCCGAAGAGTGCCAACAACTTTTTTCAGAAGCCTTTACTTTGAGAGAGCATAATTTATGTTTAAATGAAGTAGGATAAAGCAGACTTCGCTCATCGTGTAGCCAAGGTTCTCTTAAGCAGTAATGCCAAGCTTGAATTTTGCGGAAAAAATGTAGAAGAAAATATCGCGAAAAAGTCGAAAGTACTCGCTATTTTCTGGCATCTCGGCGGTTCAAAAATCGATCACTTTTGAAGTTATTTCATTTATCTCCGCTAAAAAGTGGGAAAACCCTAGCGCTTTTCTACCAACAAATGAACTAGGTCTACCCTTGCTAAATAGTGCAAAAGACCTGCAATCGCCTTTTGCTTGAAAGTTTTATATGGCACGAAAGGGCCGCGACCATTATTAAAGTTCGCAAATGGATTTCTCAGCTCAGAATTCATGGAAAATTTTGTTCAAAAAGAATCTTGTAGCGCAAAGTTCCCCAATCCTTATGCATATTTTCTATAATCAATTCGGCTATTACTCATGGATTTAGAGCAAAAAGAGTGAAAAGCAAAAATTTTGGGATTTAGTCTCTTTTATTTGAAAGCTCAGAACTTTGGAATGAACGGAGATGTACGAAAGCGAAGGCCCACATAAGAAACTAGAAAAAACGCTCTTTTACAATGTATAAAAAGTTTTTGGGGGAATTGATTACACGTCAAATACCAGCTCTTGGAAGAAGAGGTAAGAAAAACGTGCATTAATTATGAATCAACCTAATAATTTGAAAGTAATTAGCTTGCCGGACGAAGGCTAGCATCTTCGAACTTCATAGTTGCACCATATGGAGCAGGTGCAAAAGGGGTTGATGCTCGACGGTTTCTGCTTCCGCGTAGGCGCAAAGGAAGATCCACATCGAGTGTAACCCATCTTCTGTAGAGATAAAACTTTTTGATTTTATTGTTTGGATCGAAAATTAAGTATACGAGTTCAAGATCGAGGTATTTGGCTTTACTGGAGAGCCATCGAAAAGATCTTCCAAAGCTGTAGACTGTCTCTAAAAGCACACATCCAAGATGGTAGAGAAACTTTTTTTAATGGCCAGTTACCTCTCCCGCTTCCTCCTCTTCTGGAGTCATGCTATCTCTCAACTGCGACAGCATAGTCTCATCTTCTCGGGCATTATCTTCGTCATCGCTGCCTTCTTGACCTTCTTCCTCTTTCGGTTCCTCCGCAGTTCTAACATCTTCGATAGGAGTTTCCATAGCCGTAACATCCTGCGTCCACGCTATGGTAGAATCCAAATTTGGTTCATCTAATATTACAAGGTGTTCGGGAAGCACATTATCTGGAAAATGGGCGTTACAGTACTGTATTCCATAAAAAATACATACATGGGTCATAAAAATGTGTGACTTGTCTTAACTTGTAAATAAGCAAAGTGATTTGATCTTTTAAAAATTGAAATTGGCCTTAGAAAAACTCTTCGGCAATGCCATGCACCCTCATTCGAAATATTTCTTCCACCTCTCGCCCCCCCCCCCCTCAAAAAGGAAATCCTGGGACCGCCACTGGCATGTACCATTATGTTTCATTATTTATTAGCAAGAACGACGCGTCTCAAAGAGTCCACCACTTCTTGATTCTAGAATGCCCTGCAATCAGCGAAATTCCCACTTATTCTTGAGCAATTTTCGTCAAGGGGTATGGCAGTAAATTGATTGTAACTCAAAAATGTCAAAATCTCCGAATTACTGATTTATCAACTTTATTATACCACACATCTATTTCAAATAATGATAGATCTTCTCAGACTTTGAAGCACTAGCATCAAAAAATTATCCCTGCGAAATCTCACCTTGAGCTGGCTGAGTTGCCAAAGAATCTTCTACATCCGCTCCTCCAGCAGCCCTTACTGCTCGAGCAACTTCCTCCAGCCGACTAAGCAGATCTGTTTCAATTTTATTTTGCCAGTGAGGTCTAGGTGTATCTAAAAAACCTTCGCTTGAGATATGAACGTGAGGAATATATAGCGAAAGTAAGCAATTTTCTTAGTATAAATACACAAACAACTCAATTGAAAGGTTATGATTTTGCTCAAAAGTAGCAGCTTGTGATAAACAGAAAAGTTAGAATAACGAAAAATTTTTGAGTTCCTTGATTAGGGAAAAATATAAATTTTTTATAGCGAGACATGTGCCTAAAAGATACAGAACTCCGTTATGGCTAACTTGGCGAAAAAAATCTTATTTTAACCTCAACCTACAGTTATTGAACGTGTCCTCTAGCTTCCGTCCCTGAGCCGCGCATCGAGCTGCTTCTTCGCGCCAGATATATTCCAGTCCAGGATTGCACGAGTGGACTAAGGACCAAAATATTAGTTATTTTTCGCACAGATTCTGCTTCATACCATTTGCGGCATGTATTTGTTCGTTCATGATATCCGACGTATACGCATCACACTCCACCGCGCAGGAAGTGATGGGCGTAAGAGGTGAAAGAAGCGATGTGCTATAAGAAAACAAAGATTTTCTATAGCAACAGATAAAGGCTAGAAGAGTTGTGAACATTCAAAAGATCAGTGCTCACTCGTTTATAACATCTGCAGCCGTAAGGTCTCCAAAGATCTTCTCTGAAACAAAAAATAGAACTTTCCACGTTTGGGTATACTGACCGAAGCAATCTCCCGCCCTCAACATATATCTCGGAGCAGAAACCGAAAAAAAAATGATGTGGGGGAAAAGTGAGAAGGCAGGTTAAATTTTGCAGACGAAAATTTGTGCGAATTTTTCTCAAAAGTAGGCGGGTAGGCGCACCAAAAATACTTATTTGTGTAGATGCCCCATACCCCAATTAGAATTAACGACGTGATTACACAAGGTGATCGAAAACTCATCCAGTCAAAAAATTCATAGTAATTTTAGTTTTATCAATGATATTATTTCTAACTTCATCATCTTTAAGAATTCACAAATCACAAAATAAGTCGAGGTCTGATGATTCTCATTTTAATGCAACGCAGAAGTGAAAACTATGCTTGTTTCTGATTTCATCTTCAGAGTTCTGAATTTTTTTGATTTTTACAGGTTAGAAATCTTACCTTGCGAGTCACTTTGAGGTCCAATGCGATACTGTACACGTTTGAATACTATCTCATCCATGCCAAATATGGATTTGTCGATGAAAAACTAAGAAAATAAGATACACGGAGAAAGAAAAATTTAGAAGATAGGTAATAACCCAACCTGCAGTACATAAGGAGTGTGCGCTTCAAAAGGTTGCATCACAGGGAATTCATCAACCTCTTTTGCAAGTGCAGCGAACAGCCTAAACATAGATAATTCATTTAGTGAACAATTTAGCGCAAGATGGCGAGTATCATCTCTTAAAGATTGAGCGAATGCTATCATAGTCGACGTAGTTTTTTCACAACGCATCTTAATCCTTGAAGTAAGTTGAGACAGCTTTTCGCTTGTAATGCATAGAATTTTCATATGACAGATAAAAGGGTCGTGCTGACCACATAGTTCACCCAATAGAAGACTCGAAGGGAATCATAACCTTCTTCTCATATCAAATCAGTATATGGAGATCAGATATATTTCTTACCTTGTTCGATGCAACGGATTGAGAAAATAAATTTTCGCAAACTGTTCTGGATTCTCGTGGTATCCGTATATTGATCTAAATGGAGGGAATCATGATAAATGTTTAGATTATTGCTTTTCAAATCATCAATTCATCTATGAACATAGATTGACGTTTTTTGTTTTAATCTTTCTCTGGTCTGGTTTTCAAAACGAACTTTCAATGCCAATCATATTCGACAGTTGCCACATATTCATGCAAACTGTTTTCCAAAAGTCTGCAACTTTCCGTCAGAAGAACCTCACTTACTTCCCCAGCATCGGCTCAATTTTATAGATGTAGTTGTAGTTGGTGGTGATCTGCTTATCTGCTTTCTCTTGCTTAGAGGCAAATTCCCGTTGAATCAACCGATTGAGCTTCTCTCTCATTCTTTGCTCCAATGTCGGCGTAAAATTGCCTCCAACACGAATCAGCATGTAAGGAAGAAAACCATGGACGTGTACACATGCCTTCTTTCCTTAAAACATGGAATTCACTGAAAGCCTTAAAATTCCTCAAAATTCCGAAACCTTATACTGCGCTACTCTGTTGTAGCAAACTTCAATATTTTGGCTTTTCGTGATCAAAAATGCAATAATTCACCTTCTGGAGTTATTCCAAAGATATGGAATGTTGGCACTTGCTGTTTCAAATCAGGGAAGAGGTGTCGATCAACAGCTGAAGGCAAGGCAAGGCTATACTCGCAAAGCACATTTCGCATACGAAATGCTGCTTCAACCATCGACTAGATCATGTGTGAAGATGCTTCTGTAGGTAAGAGATAAGGATAGTAGGATGTCTATCAACACACTGACGACCATGCAGAATTGTAGTTGTCTGATTTCTGGGACCACAGCCTTTCACGATCAATTTTTTCAAATCAGCATACTACCACTATTCCTACAGTTCCACAGGCTGACAAAAAAGGTGGAGTCTGTTTGTAAATCCAACGCAAAGCAACAACTACTGGAGCGAGACTTCATCCCCTAAGACAGTCGTCATTTTGATGATATTCAAGTCTTGACATACCAGGGGTGTCAAGCGGTCTCCAATGTTAAAACTTAATTGGTCTCTTTTAATATTCCTACTCTTTATGACATATAATAGTAAGGACGAGTCTGCGCTCTGCTAATACTCTTTACAGATAGAAATAAGACTATTGTAGCAAATGAGATTAGTATGTATATTATGTATGTACATAGTTATGCTTCTACTAGCGGCTCGCGGAAGGAAGCATAAGGTAAACGAGATCCAACACGAGGTCATTCGCATTTGAAGAACCAACTCTAACAAGATTAACAAAAAAGCAAAAATAAAAGGAAATAATTATGCAATCAGAAAAATGCATGGATTCATGGTAGCCACAAACTTTTACTTGTGCCTACATGTAGGAGTGGACAAAATGGTTGATTCAGCAGGAGAAATAAAAATGTAGCTTTCACAGCCCGCAGAGTGGACAGAAATTCAAATAGAAAGAAGGACACAGCTTTTGTATACATGCAACATATGTAGCAAAGCTCTATGCCTGTTCGGAAATGCGTTAACTCTGTGGGTGTCTTTAGCAGAAAAAGGTCTATGACGCATTTGTTTGCCAAATGATTATCATAGAAATCGATAAAAATTCGCAGTTTTCTACTTTTGAAGGAGACCATTTCAGCAGACTTAACCAACTGAGAGAAAATCTAAGCAATGAAATTCACGTTCATATTAGTGAAAGTATTAGAGCGACTTTTTAGAAAATAAACGGGTAGAATGGAAGCGTTTACGTGTTAGTCTTGATATTTCTGGATCTATCGAACCACTTGAAATGTTTTTCTAGCTAGCTACCTGGGTGTACCGATTGCTTATACGAAAACTTGCGATTGCGCATGAAAAAAAAACCGCTCGACAGTGGAACACCGCTTATCAGAATGTATATAATTCTACATCGAAAATATAGAACACCGAATTGAAGAAGATTGTAGAATGTCAAGTAGACTACTGCGTGACCACGTTGTCATTAGAACATAAGCAAACGGGAATAATTTATTATATCACAGTATTGTAAGTATTATTTACAAGGTGAGACGAGTATCTTGATTCAAGATTAGCATTAAAAGCCCAAATCGGGCTTGATTGACGTGCAAGATCATCACTTGAGATACAAAGAGTAAAACTAATACTTGAGATTACAAAGTGAGTGAGTAAAACCTATTTAAAGTTGGAGAGGTAATTAAAACCGTTATATAGGTGTGAGCGATCCCCAGTTCGGTCCTTTGCGGACCTTCACTGGCAGAGGTACTTTGAAATCTGGAAAGACGTTTTCTAGGCAATCGCGGATCCAAATCACTGTTTCCTCTTCATCTTCCTTGGCACATTCGACAATAACCTCATCATGAATTGTGAGCACGATATGTGTTGAGCCTAAAGCGTACGAAGAAGAAGTAAGAGTCAAGAGTAACATATGCATAGCATCCAAAAAGACACATTTTCCTCCCCTTTCTGGATGAGTTTCCAACACAAAATCCTTACAAAATATTGCTATTAGATCTTTTAAATCAAATAAGCACTCACCCATTTTTGTATCATCCATTCTAACCAGCGCTTTCTTGAAAACCTCGCTGGCTGTTCCTTGTACGGTGTAATTCATACTTTGCCTATCATCTCGGGCCACATCTTTTTGACGTCCCTTGGCGCTATTTGTCACTCTACGCCGACCTGTAATTTTCAAGTTTCGAATTCAAACTAGTGATTTTGGCTTATAGCTGAAGTGCAGCACCTAGATAGGTAGTTACGTATCCATCGTCAACACCTTTATCCTTTGTATTGTTGATGTATGTGCGCACTTCTGAAACATGATAGAAGTCAAAATATGAAGGCGACGAAGGATGATCGGCGCTTACTGGGAAATTCCTTGAAGAAGTTCTGTATCAATTTGTTTGCGTCCGCGACCGATTTGTTAGTCATCTGACCCATCGTTCTACCGCCCATTCCGTAAATGATGCCATAGCAGAGCGTCTTTACCGTTTCTCGAGTGACTTGCCACTTTGCAGCTAAGTCCTTGAAAAAGTCACGACCTAAAGGTAGCTGAAATACAATACCGTAGCTCTTAATGTGTGCAAAAGATAAGCGATGAACACCCGAGTCAGGTGACATTACCGCCCCGTCGCTAGCTATTATATTAGGCTGGAAACTAAGTTTTGCAACTGGTTTCATATCACTCTCTTTGGATTTGGCTTTGGATTAAACTTTAGTATTATGCAGAAGGCAGTGTGAGCTACAAGTGAACACAAATTGTCTAAATTTTAAACACGAAATAGGAAAGTTTCAACCGTTTTTTTAAAACTAGTGAAATTTGAGAATTTTTGGGGTTTCAAGCTAAAATGAAGCCTTTGGCAGCCAAGACCACGCGCAGTAATCCAGATTCGTCTACAAATTAATGTTGGAGGTTGACTCCTTTAGCCTAGTAAGAAAGAAACAAAATTTAGGGGCATGTCGAGATTTGGCGTCTTCATAAATTCGAACGAGTCGATGTACGCAAGAGCTGCTGGGGACGGCCGTCAATGGCTAAAAAGTCTGAAGCTCAAATTCCGCCGAGACTTTACATAGTAAGGTTATTTGACCTGCCAAATGCGAATACCACATTCATTTGTTGAATCAACGCCTTTTTCCCTGTTTAGGGTGAGACCCCTTATCGTACACCTTCAGTAATCCTACAAAAAAAAGCCCTTATCACGCACTTTCACTATCGTTTTCGGATCAGCATGTCGGATAACACCCCTATGCCAAGTTTCAGCCAAATCCGTCAAACTTTGAATTTTTCCCCTTCATACCATGCACCTACCGTAACCCTCACTGCGACGTTTGGTAGGACGTAGAAATTTGGTAGGACAGCAGCTGCGCTTGTAGCTTACGTAATAACCAACGCAGTGGCACAATTTGAGTGCGCCATGTTGAGTGAGAGGGAAGTTATGAGACAGTTGCAAAACTTAGTTTCCAACCTAATATATCTCGCTTCGGAGTGGGCAAATTCCAGATACAGACATTCCTTTAAATCACAACGCGCTTTTTGTACACAGAAGTGCCTGTTCGAGGCGGTAGCCGGAGGTAACTACTATTTCTCACAAATCTTTCGGATTTTCAGCAGCGAGTCAAATTGAAGTAAATGAGGTTCTTACGTTCGTGATAGCGGGGCTCCTAACTGACAAAGGAACCGTGTCGAGTCGAAGTGGCCTTTCCAGATGAGACCCACACTGCTTTGAAGAGCATTAAACGGTGATTCCAAATCTGCTCTCCAAATCTGCCAAGCGCCTCTGGACGCCGAGTTATGCTCGTTTTTGGGTCAAAAAATTGAACGCAAAACTAAAGCAAAATCGCCCAAATTTGCTCAAATGGTCCGGTGTCGAGTATCAGAGCTGTTTATGCAATGGATACATTTTATTTTATATGCTAATACTTAACATTGCTTTATTTGAGCGTTCGAAAGATCGTAACAATCAATTTTACCTACATTCTGCATTCATTTTTCGTTCCGAAAAACGGTCATAACTCGGCGTCCAGAGGCGCTTGGCAGATTTAAAAAGCAGATTTGGAATCACCGCTTAATACTCTCTAAAGCAGTATAGGTCTCATTTGGAAAGGCCACTTCAACTCGACACGGCTCCCTTGTGAGTAATCGCCCAAGTGCAAAAAAATATTCGGAAGCGAGATAAACGCTACAGAAGGCAGAAGCAGCTATGGCTCCGTCCATCAACGTGGGTGGTCTAAAAATGAAAAATTCAGAAATGGCTTTTGATGCATCAGGTATCATCATAAATCCGCCCTCAATTATGACTATCAGATCGTTTCGAGCTTATTATCTTCAGACCACCCAGCATAATGGCGGAGCCAGCTGGGCTGCTAATTTTTTGAGCCATCTTCACGCTTCGAATTTTTCTTTTGCAGCGAAGATTGGGCAATCACCTAATTAGGAGCTCGCCTATAAAACAGCACCAAAATCTCAGGATCCTCATTTTGGGTAGACGGTGCCTATACATTCAGGGTACGTCTTGGCAAAGCGATATGTAGCAACTGATGCCAAAATCACCTGACTCAAGTGACCACTGCGTTTTCCTTGCACGATTTATGAGTGGTATTGTATGAAAATTTGTATAACAAGTGAGAACAAGAAATAGTAAAACTATACCGCTGCTAAGATGTTTGATGAGTGAAGGATCCTCGCTTAGATGTGCCAGTACACGTAATTCAAGCTGACTGTAATCGGCGCTCATTAAGATACAACCTGAAAATCCGCTAGAGTAATTCCCATTTTGAGGAGACCAAAATATACAGCATCAGCTGAGCTAAAATTTAGCTTCTACTGCTTTAAAGTTCTGTTCAAAAGCTAAATGAACGCATTTCTAAGAATAGCAGTACTGTTGTGGGCCAAAATGAATCCCAAAAAAAAGAAAATAGTCTCACCTTTTTGAGCCACAAAGAGATGACGAATACTAAGGTCATCTATGAGGACATCCTTAGGGATATTCTGCAAATTCGGTTCAAATGTCAATATTCGTCCGGTCGCAGTATGCATTTCACAATGTGTTCTCACAAATCCATCATCGCTAACGAATCGTTGTAATGGAATGATTTGCTAAATGATCAGTTTATACATTTTTATATTAGGTTGTCTCCTATTTAGTGTACGTTTTTCTAACCGCTTTTTGATAAAGCTGATTTTCAAAAGAATAATATTGTTCCACGAAACTTTTTATGTGTCTGAAAATGGATTAGATGAATGGATGCTGTTTCCGCGAATCTTTGTTCACACCAAAATGCGTTGAAAGGAAAATGACGAAAACTTAGAAATCTATCCTTTCAAATTTGCTCCAAATCCATGGAAAATGGTCGGATTTTTTCAAGAAATATGCATAACGATTATGAGTTTTGTGCTCAACCCGCTTGGCAATACTAAATTTTTGAAAAATACTTAGCCGATAGATTTTGACTCAAATTTGGCCTATTGCTGAGGACCACCTATGCTGCATGAAAAACTCAAACGAGGAGCAATGCACTGCTTCCGCTCTGTACAGCTGGAGTGAACCTAGTGCAACTAATGTTAGGAAAATGGTAGGATTTTCCCGTTTCTTGGAGGAGAAAAAAATTAAAAAATTCCAGAAATACAATTTTTCGGATTTTTACAAATGCTGAAAGAAATGGGCACTTTAAGATTTTTGGTAAGACTTTCTCGCAAAAAAAATTCCGTGAAATCCAAAATCCATTGCTCAACCGACCATCGGCTATAAAAGAGCAAAGTTCGCGCCATCCTAGCACAGAGCCAGTTACGATCTCCCGAACTATGGGTTTCTACAAATATTTTGAGGATTTTCGAGTTAGGAAATCTTTCCGGAAACAGCAACGAAACAAAAGTAAACGTTGTATAGCCAAAGGTTTGCTGTATGCAGTAATTTTTACTGCACTCAAAAGATGGTTTTGAAGAATTATCTTGATTTGAAGCTGAAGTTTAGGAAAGTGCATCAATCATGAGATATAATATATATCCTAATATAATTCAAAGCTTGTTTAAGTGTAAACTTACACTCATGGCATGACTGAGATGTCGATGTTCCAGAATCTTCTCAACAATGGGATGCTGCGATTTCATCTGCTCAAGGACTGCCTTGTTTGTGGACATGTGCTGTTTCTTCGCGGGGCCACCGGGATGGGGCAATTTCAAACGAGTAAAAAGAACCTTCAAAAACACGATTCAGCATTTCTGGAGGTTTCCTGCACGTAAACAAAATAGCCACTCACCTCAGCAACTTGCGAAGGACTGCCCAAGTTGAAGTTGCGACCTGCTAGATCACAACACTCTTGCTCTAGACTTTCTATCCTTTCCTTCACATTCTTAACCAGCAAACGGCACATCTTCTCATCGAAACGGAAACCATCCAAGCACATGGTGCTTACTACCTACAAAAAATTTTACACCATTAAAGGGAGGGGGAGTATTATTTAGCAAGGGCACTTCACCAAAGCAAGAGTGATTCAGAAAGCAAGGTCACCAAACCTGGTCAGGATTATAGGAGTTTTGTCAGAGCGAAAAGAAAATAGAAGAGCTCGCAAGAAAAGGCTTGGAGATGTAGAGCACGTTTGAAGTTTGGGTATAAGCAGCTTCAACATAGCGACGCCAGCATTCCTCTTTTTGATAATGGTAAACTTTCGCATGCTCTCGAGAAAGTTCTCATCAAAAATTGTTTCTTTCCAGCAAGATACACCAAGCTTTTGAAACTTTTTTAGAGCACAGCCACGCTGCCATCGAACTGCTGGTGATTGCAAAGTGTTCGTCTTGTCAAAGCATCTTCCATTACCGTAAAAGGATCAGTACCGTAAATGCTAACATCTTGAATTGGAAATCATAGCAACTCGAGGGGCAAAAGATTTGTCATGAAGACTGAAGATTCCATTTTCTTAGCGCATTTCACATGAAGCACGAGAAGTTTCCTCAAATCTAAGACACAGATAGTAGTGAATCAACCAAAGGCAGCGTCGCAAATTTTCGACAATTATTTTTTGTCATTTTCAAATTTTTTCATGGTCTAATTCGAATTCTAACTTCAAATTGCATGAAACCCCGAAATCGCCCTTCTCCGGAACCCTATTTTGATAAGCAGTCACAGTAAAAAAGCTCGCCACATTCAATACTTCCATTCGACTATGAAGCAGTGCGTTCGGCCCATGCCCGCAGAGGGATACTGACAACGCCGAATCTTTTATCTATCCTTTTATTTTGATAAGCGAGGCCGAGTATCCGATGCTAATTTGTGCGATGCAACGTGAAAAACATGCATCACATATAAATAAAAGTTGCAAGTGCAAGGTAAAAATGGCACGCGAAACCTGTAAGCTCGTCCGCGCAGGTGTAGGGGAGCAAAAAAAGTTAAAAGGTAGCTTTTTCTGAGCGGATCTGATGGCTAGCTCCAGAGGGGAGACCTCGAACCGTATCAAAGTGGGAAGCCGATTTTGCCCGGACGCAGCCTTTAAAGAGTTCACAATATTCGCACACACATCACGGCCAACTTAGATAACACCTGGAGTCTGGTAAAGAAAATAGAACCTATTGTTGACTACCAGAATGACACGGTTCGTGTTCAAAGAACTTCTGTACACAAGTAAGAGGCAAATTTCAATGAAAAAATCATTTGTACCTGCAGAGCTCGCACTTCAAGGCTTAAACTGTCTTCAGAGGAGCATTGTACCGCAAGTGGAGACAGAAGATCAAAGAGCCTTTAAGTCGATTGTATAGATAACAAAGGTGGTAAAACTCAGTAGAAGATTGTGGTTACCTCGGCGCCAAATAGGACTGCACGGCAGAACTTATTCTGGGATTCATTCGAAGCATTTTATTTATGTCAATGTCCCACTTGTATTTCGCAGCAATATCACGAATGGGAAGCGCCTGCTCCCCTTCTCGTAGATGTGCAAGAAATGCCACATATGAGACGGAGATTGGTTCACTGGCCTAAATTACCCGGCATTTGGAAGAAAAGTTGAGCAGATTTTTTGGTGAAGTGGAAGTACCTTCAATTTAAAACTCTTCCACAACATTCGGCAATCACTCAAAGCATCCGGAAAGATTACTTCGCAAGAATGGAGAATGGAAGTGACGCGCGACAATCGTTCATCAAGCGAGATAGATTGCGAAGGTGTAGAAGACGGGCACAGCTCTTCTTCAGCATCATTGCCTAGAAATCAAACAGCTAGGCATGTACGGCAGTCACAGATTCCATCTCGTGAAGGTTTTATGTGTATATGGGAACTCTCAAATATTTTGCCTGCCCCTATATATTAACGCTTACAGAAAAAAATTGCCAGTCATATTTCGTCCGCCTCTAAAAAAAATTGTGATTTTTTAGTTATAGACGAGTTACACTGCATCCAGAGTTGCCCGTGCCAGCGCCATGCCGGCGACGTTTAAACGCCATTCCAGCACTGTGCTAGCATCATGGCGGAACCCACGTGCACGCCGTCCCTGAATGCTTCTCGCATGGCAGCGGCATGGCACCGGAAAGGCGCTGACATCACGCTGGCACAGCTTTGGTCCGGGCTATTCTACAGGCTCAGAAGCTTTCACTATTGGCAGGGCCCTGCACCGATGGTTTGGGGTCAAACTGGACTTCGTTTTTGAAGTTAGAAGCAACGGGGACATCGTTTTTATGAGGTCCTGGAGGAAGCGCCAAAAAAAAACACGACGAACATGTCAGGTTTCACGAGTTGAAGTGTTCTTTCGCAAGCGCGCGAATTTCAAATGCAAGACTCAAACAAACAAATGGCTTGTTTACAGCGCACAGACAATCACATGGCTCCGAATTTGGGCTATGTGTATACAATATTACTCCAAACTATGTTATGTAAAAAGTTCCCAAAACTTATGTGTCCTAATATCCGTTCTCGAATTTGTTGGTTTCTGACCAACTACCAAACCAACTGGGTTGGTTCGGAGCATAAATATCGGAGATCACATAAGTTTTGGACCTTTTTGATTTGGACGATTAGAACGTTCAAAAATCTATTATATAGTGAAGAAAGCGGATCAAACCGTTGCCTCTCCCCTTTATTTTGAGTCAAAAGTAGTATAATTCTACGCGTTGATAGATATCTCGCTCCAATCACTTGCGGTGTCCTTTGTAATATGTGGCGAAAAAAGCATCGCAGGATTGTTGAGGCTACAGATTTGGTTGGCCTAAGAAATTTTCAACATTCCCAGCATCAAAATGGTACTATACCCAATGGCAGAGCCTTTAATGGACTCGAAATGTTTTCTTTTTGCTTTTTTGTTATATTGCATATTTCAAAATGCGCTTTTTTCGCTTTTTTGTTGCTGTTTTGGTTGAAAAAAGTTCCCCTACTGATTTTCACATCGAGAGGGACTTCGTAAATTTTCGCGAAGTCATGGGGGACTTCGTTTCCTAAAAACCTCCAAACCAACGCGTGCCGGGCCCTGACTATTGGGTCATAGTTTTGTCAAAGTTTTGTTGCGATAAAAGTCTTATGGACACAGTATTCCAGTGCTTCAGAAGAATTTTGCGTTCTCAGATCAAACTTTTGACTATAAATATTCATAAGAGGTAAATGTCAATCAACGGGCAGACGAAAGCACTAAATAAGCTGTAAGATCAAAATTATCGCTTTGAAGGTCACATTAACCGATTGTGTTTGGAAACTAAAGTGGAAGAACTGACTCTACACAACTGAAGCACGAAAGCCGACAAGGCTTTGGGTTTTGGATATTGCAACAAAAGCTAGCATAATTTTGCAATGTTCCTCAAAATTAAGCAAATTATTCAATCAAACTTTTCCACAATTGTGGCATATGTTCCAAGAAAATATTGGGCTTAGACAACGGTGCACGCCTACACAAAATAAAATAAATAGATGAATAAAATATGTAAATAAATAAATAAATACATTAACTATTTTGATCAGCACTATGTTCAAATACAAAGCTCACAAGGTATTGAGTGAAAATAAACCAAAAAGCATTACTAACAAGGAATGCATGTTTAGTCGAAGTGGCCTTTTTAGATGGGACCTATACCATATTGAAAGACATAAATTGCTGATTCCAAATCTGCCTTCCTTATCTGCGGAACGTTCATGGACGAGGAGTTATGAGCGCTTAATAAAGCAAAAATTGAGTGTGCAAGTAGGACAAAAATAGCCGTAATACTTTTTCAAACTCTTTAACGGGGCAGTGATAATCACCTGAGCCCTTTATTTGAAAAATACTCTTGAATTAAAAATATATCACATTTGGTTGCACTATTTGAGGGCTCGTAAGATTTTAGCAACTCATTTTATCCAAAATGCACGTTTAATTTTTGGCTTAAAAAACGCTCATAACTTCTCGTGCATAAACGCTCTGCAGATAAGGAAGGCAGATTTGGAGTCCGCGTTTTATGCCCTTCAATACGGTATTTATCTCATTTAGAAAGGCCACTTTGACTAAACAAGCTTCCCTTGTAAGATGAGGCATAACTAAGCAGATGAACTACATCACTAACAAACTCGCATGATGTCAAGAAAGCAAGATGGAAATTATCGTGTCCAAAGAATAGAACATTTTTTTGCACATCCACCTAGAATCCGAGTAGACGAGATACGAAAACACATAATAAGGGATGACGAAGGGTAAGGATGCGAAACCACTTTTTGATTGGAAATTATTAGAGTCTTACATACTGTAAAACTTGCGAAGTGCCAGGACCAAAGCTATGTTGCAAGTCTCTTGAAAGTGCCAATTCGCTTCCAAAAGTTCCAAGATCAACAGATTCTCAAACTAGACCTCACTTCCCGCTCACAATGATCAAGGACGTTTTTTGCAGACAACGTAAACAAGGTGCTGGAGGACGCAATTCTGCAAAAACTTTCAAGGTTCCCACCTGGAAAATATTCATCGCTTAGCGGTATGTATTTTGGTGTGCCATCTGGAGTACAAAAAGAGATTCCATGCAGAAGAACATTCTCAACAAGGCGATATTTGATCGCTAATGCAGCTCCCACTCTCGACCACGATGAACTCTGTTTCACAAATTGATTCCAAGCAGATTCGGTTCTATAAAAGTTCGATTTGACTTTAGCGCAGTACTAAAAATTCATGTATTACCTGCAAACATCATCTACATCAAACTCTTCGAACTCATGGGAGGAGTTGGTGTGATTGGGACGCTCTATCCGGCGAGTTTTACCCGCAGGACTCTTACTTGTAGGGGAGTTTGCCTGTAACTCACAATTCTCGCGTTTTGTGAAATAAGACATGACAATTACTTACAGCTTTATTGCTGTTTCTAAGTCTCTTATGCGACGGATGTTGTGACAGCGACACGGCGGGCATTTTGCTATCACGAAGAACGGAAGGTTCTCCTAAAAAGTGAATTTTATCAAAACGGTTCATTCAACTTCACAAGGATTATGATAAATTACCAGAGCCACAGGATTCCTCACTATAACCAGAATCAGCAAGAGTCAAATGGACCGCACTGGCAGACGGAGGAGGCTGGAAAGCAATTTTGTTTACTCCATCGTGTTGCGGTAAACATGTGACTGCATCGATTCAAGGCCTCGTTTGCAGGGAATATATGAGGGGAACGCATAGCAAGCAAACATAGAATAGACGATAGGGCTTCAAAGATCATTGGAACAGACATTCCATGTGACGCTAAAACGCGTGGATTGCACTACGTATGAAAAGCGAATATAATTACCTATAGGGTTTTGTGAACATTAGGTTCATGCGAATTTTTTGGGCGTTTTTCTCAATCTTTTTTTTTTTCAGACAACTTCTTTCCATCAAACTTTCCTCAGCGAAACAGATTTATACTTTCAAGCAGCTCTTTTCATGCTCTATCCAATTAGAAAATGGGCTTCAAGCCTCATCCGTTAAAAATTACAAAGCTCCATATAGCCGCACGCATAACCAGAATTCCATCGCACTCACTTTTTTCTGACCAGAATTCAAGCGCGAATGACGGCGCTCTTTCGAAGATTTAGCGCTATAAGTGGAACGTACACTTAACTATTATCTTTAATATTATCTAGGCTTTGATATCCGCGCCCCAAAATGGGTAATCGTTGCGGTCATTCTATGGTTCATAATTTTTTTTTTTGAAGGAGGCGATCGCCAAACCTTTGCACAAATCTGTAAGCGTAAAAGTAGACCTTCTCTTGACAGTTTTTGCAAGAATTCGCTGTTCAGTACGCAAAAAATCAAAAAACTCCTTTTGAGGCCTACTGAAAAAATGTTAGGATAAATTCAGGTTTTTCTCTTTTCGCAAATCTTCCTCGTTCAAGCCTTTTCGTTTCTTCGTTTATCCTACTGGCTTGCGATACAAGATAGGAAACTTATCATTTACGTTAACAAACTCAGAAGGGAGTCATGAGCTGTATTAATGACACCGCAACGACAGTGACATCGCAGGCATCTTGCATTCACGCTCATCTGAAGTGCACTCTAGCGGGATAGTTCCTTCACTTCACATTTTTCTGGACAAACTAACTAGAGCCACAAGATTCCTCGCACAAGATAATCAGAATCGTCCAGAGACAATGAACCGCACATGCAGACGGAAGAGGCTAGAAAACAATTTTTGCCACCGATAAATTATGGCAAAACCTTTGTGCCCTTTCGCAACGCAACACAAGGGGTGAAGGTTCATTCATCAGCTTTACAATCATGGGACATTCCCCAGCGAAAGAAAATCAAAGATGGGAGCTTCCCTACACGACACTCGACAATCGAATAGTATAGTTGAAAACAAGCCATTGCCCTAAGGCTTCATCAACAGTGTTGCAATTATCACTCACTTTGCAATGGATACCTAATACACTGCCGCAGTGCAAGAAACATCAGTAACTAGCTGGCTTACTCAACTCCGCCAGGCCCTGTCACATAAAAGACCCACCCCTATCCCTGTACTTTTCTTGGTGCCCATTTTTACATGCTAATTCCCTATTACCCGCTTTGTCTGATCAGCATGCTCACCTCCCCCCCCCCCTGCGCCAATTTCCAGCCCCGTAGCTCGGACTTTGCAAAAAATCGATGAAACCAATAAAGTAACGCATAATCTCAGAAACTAATTGCATTCGTAATCAGCGTGCTCGGATCTCCCTGTGCCAACTCCCAGCCCCGTAGCTCAACCTTTGCAAAAAAAAAAACGATAACGCTGATAAAAACAACGGATAAGTTGAAAACTAATATTGTATTCGTAATCAGCGTGCTCGATTATCCCCACCCCCTCGTGTCAACTCCCAACCCCGTAGGTCAAATTACAAAAAAATCGATAAAATCGATATCGATCAATAATGAAAAGTAGCCTACGACTCCCGCCCGCCCCGAAGTGTATGTGTGTCAGGCTTGGTCCGGATCGGTCCGGAAATGGAATTTTCTATTTGGAACATAACACAAGCAGACATACAGACATACAAACATGCGGACAAAAAGACATTCAATTCAAAAAAATCGATATCGATCGACAACGAAAAGTAGCCTACGACACCCGCACCGCCCCGAAGTGTATGTGTGTCAAGTTTGGTCCGTATCGGATCAGAAATGGAATTCTCTATTCGGAACATAACACACAGACAGACATACAGACATACAGACAACAGACATTCAGCTTTATTACAAAAAAATCGATATCGATCGATAATGAAAAGTAGCCTACGACACCCGTCCCGCCCCGAAGTGTAGGTGTGTCAAGTTTGGACCGGATCGGTTCAGAGATGGAATTTTCTATTGAGAACATAACACAAAGGAAGACACATACAGACATACAGACATACACACATTCAGCTTTCTATATAATAAGAAGAGCATCACACGGCCAGCATGACTGTGTGTGGTTCATCCAACTCTAAGGGATCCAATACAAGATGATTTCGTTTTCATCTGAACCGGATTTTAGGATGGAGAAAAAGATGTGGTTAGCGTTATAGTGGGCATCCTGAACAAACAGAGTGCCAGGAACATGAAAAGGGATAGGATCGCGAACACACAGATAAACAGGTATATGCTCAATTTATATACAACCGAACGAGATTCATTTACTGCTGCCCACCAAGATGAGCCATCCAGAAGCTCATTTCGTTGAAATACCTCCCCCCAGGGGGTCGGTGCGTTCTGCGGTCTCGTCGCTTGAGATACCTCTCCCAAAGAAGTCGGTGCGTCCTGCGGTCTCGTTCCAACGATGCAAGTCGACTGCTTTATCCGGTCTTCTTGAGCATCGCCGGTTCTCTAAATGATATTGAGAAGAACTCCAAAGATCTGAATCTCATCTGGCTCCTGCGCGGAGAACGTCAGCAGCCTCGCCCAGGCTGGGTGGGCGGATCCATAGCTGACGAGTGACGGGAATGGTCAAAACAGTGCCCAGCCGCGTCTACAGCTAGCGAGGGAATGGTCAGAAGTTAACCCAGCCATTTCTAACAAGCTGTATATCATCGAACTCGGCTTAGAATGCTGATTTCAAATGTATGTTTTTTATCTGCCAAGCGACTATTTGGGAGAAGTTATGAGCGTTAAAATATGATAAATTTTTCGAGTTTTGGCGAATATACTTCCTTCAAAGGCAGCCTGATGGAGCGATTTACAGTAGCTACGGTTTTTCAATTACAAGAAGGGAGTACATCCACCAAAAACCTAGATAAATGTTTTTAAAACCTATTTCGTGGAACATGCGCGACAAAACACTTGAATCGCACACTCAAACGTTCGTAACTCCTCCCAGATAGTTGCTTGGCAGATAGTAAACATATATTTTGGTATGGTTAGATTAAGCTCTGACCATTCCCTGCTAAGCCCCGCCCCGCGTGCTTGGCACAACGCCATAGCATTGGCAAAGGCAAAACTCCACTTTCGCCAACGATGAACTACGGCAAAACCGTACTTTCGACGGAAGTGCGTAGAACACTTAACCTCTGCAACAGCTAGATCGTCGGAACGCTTTGACACTTTGTAAAAATGTTGTACATTGTTGGTCAAGATAAATAAGCATGTTCTCGCGATTGTTACGACTGAGTCCGCAATGCGGAGAGAACACTTAGGTTCATACGACACTTTGTTTCTCCCAGCTCTATTATTCCAATTGGGGTTCGTCATTGGATCTCAGAGAAATGGGTTGTTGATATGTTCTACAATTGCAGCTCTTTTGGGCTCAGAGGGCAGCTTCAAATGGACTTCCCCAAGTTACAGGTACAACGAGCAGCCGAAACATAGCGACGTCTAGCCGTGTGCTCTCGCGCTTTACTTCCGCCTGTGTTGCGTTGCGGAAGGGCAAAACATAGGATTGCAGGCACACATCAGAAGCCAGTGCATGTAAGCTGAGAAATTACTCTACTCTCCTCCGTAGTTCTTCACTTGTGCTATACAAACTTTCCAAGACGAATCAGTAGTATCGCCGATTGCTTGATTGTGAACGGCTCCAACAAGCCATTTGCTAGTCCCTTACTATCCACTGTAACTAATTAACCATCCTCTCTTGTTAGTGGTTTACCAAGCCTTGACGCATTCATTATGAGAACTCTCTGAGCTGCTTACCAATGAATTTGCGGCGAACCTCAAATTTCCAGGGTCGATAGATAGTAATCTGGTCGGAATTCCGAGTTTGAAGCTCCGCGTTAACTCAGACAAAACTCTGAGTTCCGTTTTTGAAACTCTGAGTTAGGCCCCGGACAGACTTCACGCGACTTAATCGCCAAGATTTCCATTCATTTTCATTTCACATTCAAAAATTTCGGGCTGGAAAAGTATCACAACCGAATGCAAGTTGATCGGCATGGAATGATGTTGTAACAGTTGTCTCGTCGCGATTCAGTCGCGACGATCAAATCGCGTGAAGTCTGCCCGGGGCCTTAAGGGTCGGGCATACTTCACGCGATTTCAGTCGCAATGCAATTTGGCAATATTCCAACTGCCCATAACTCACTGTAAGCACATTTAAAATGTACAGAGGATAGGGCATTTTATCAAACTACGTGAGTTATACACACTATGCATGTGCAGTTTGCTAGTGTTGGATCTGAACACTTCTGGCGAATTGCCAAATCGCGTCGCGACTGGAATCGCGTGAAGTATGCCCGGCCCTTTACGCTTATTATAACTCTGAGTTCCGCTTTCGTAATTCCGAATTCCAACTCTCAAGCTCGGAGTTTTGCTTTGAGGAGCTGTTAAGCACTTTGCTGCAAAAGCGACGTTAAAGTAGGGACTCGAACCTGTTTGGTCTAGCTTAAAGATCCTATCACTAAACCGCTAGACCATGACACACCCATGAACCCTAAAATTGCTTTGCCATGATGTACTCACTCATTCCATTAACACATAGCAGGTCAAAACAAGTTATACCAAAGCCTCACTCATTTTCATTTCTATAGGGCAGTGATGGTTCATCACGAGGATTGGTCTTTTGCGCAGCTGAAAGCTTCAAACAATAGAGAAAGCGGATGGCAACGCAATGATAAGAACTGACTATTAGGATTTGCGCACAGAATAAATCCTCCGGGAAA